TCACAGCTGATCTGTACAAGCCAGTATGCAAGCCACTATGTGATAGCCCATCAAATCCTGTGAACATGCAATGTGTTTCCTGATTGGCTGAGAGGTTAGGGATGCGTATCCAATGAGTCATTCCAGCTCACTTCAATTACACAACCACCTGTTTGGAGAAATCTGGCAGAACTTGGCCTTCCTTATATTACAAGAGATAAAAATCATCACTACCTTGAGGAGTATGAAGGCCGTTTAACTTGCTTACTGGTATTCTTCATTTGCATGGTATATGGGCATTTTCAGCTTGGTACTTTAACTTGGTACATTGTTGATGTAATTACAGATGCCTTAAAAGTATTTTATTGCTATGGATGTTACATTTTCTCTATTGTTGTCATTCAATAGTCAAGTACAACTTAGAGAGACTGATAAGGGTTAAATTTAGAGTAGCTAATAGTTATGCTAACAAATTATTTTAAGTCAAATTTAGTACACTGTATGTTTTTATTCACTAATATTTTACATGATAGTTACTACCATTCAACCTCATTAGCGTTCTACTGCAAATACACGATGTGCATTACTTTATTATTTAGTGTTTATGCAATGAACTAAACATCAGTATATTGTACTGATATTGTTAACTAAGAATCAAAAAAAATATTTAAGGTAATAAGTATCAATTTGATTAGATTAACCAAATCATCACGTACATTTAGGTTGTAATTGTTTAATTTACCTTAATTAACCACAGGTTTGTTTATTGCACTGATATCAGTTACTTCACAAGCACACACCTGTGTCTTTTAATTAGTGTCGATTTAAGGGTATGTGTCATGCGTCTGAACTTCTCATCCAGTAGGTTATTCTGCACTGGGTGGTTGAATTGTTTGACTGATGCTTGGTAGGGCTGTTAAATTTTTACTTGAGTGTATGTTATTGTAAGAGGTCGGCATCACTGAACTGAATATGTTTTCTTTGCAGTGTTCAGCACACCATTGTTAATTTTCCTGTGTGTGGTGTCATGTGTTTGATGGTCCATGTATTTGTTCTTTGTTTCATTCCATTTTAGTCAAATACCCATAGTATGGAACAATCAAGTATAAGAGAATAAACAGCATTCAAGATCCTCAGAGCATTTGTATTTTTCAAACAAGAATTTGGAAACTCCAGTGACCCCAAATGTGCTTTTTCTCCACCTTCTGTTTGGACATGCTCGTCTTAAGTGGTAATCGATACTGGCGAGGATAGAAATACACAAATTGGGCGTTTTTTTCAACTCATGGCTATGTCAACATTGCTTTCTTTGATGCAGCCAACCAGTCGTTGACCCTTGATAGGTGCCTTATTACTTATTCACTTTCCATTGTGCGTAAGTTTTAGCCTGTGTATACGCTGCAACTCATTGTTGAGTAGTAGTCGGCAGTAACCTCCAGGGGAAAATGTTGTAAAGTGGTGTGTTTTCAGAGTCTCTATACCGACTAAATTCTGTTCTAATAGTCTTTTATGATTACTCAGTTTCACCAGTCTCATGGATTATTACAGTATTCGTGATTGGGTAAGTTCATGTATTCACTTTTGGTCGACCGTTCACACGGGCATCCAACGTACTTCCTTATTCACCAGGTAATACATGGAATGTCTGTAGTACACCAATATCGAGTTAATTCACATCAATCTTGGCAACTGATAATCGATTTAGAAATCCACTCTATAGCATTATTTGTGTTTGCGGCATGGTTGAGTTTGGCATGACTGTAGTGGCGCAGAAGTAATGACATATACCATGACTGTCAACAGGAAATGAACTTCTTTGTTGTGTAATTGATCTATATTCACCTGCAGAAATTCTGTTGGAATGATTTAATAGCGGCGATCTTTCGGTTCCTGTCAATTTTATCAAGGACAGGTGGCTTGATCTTTAACCAAGTGTTTACTTAAACGATTGAAGGAGATAAAGCTACTCGTCACTTTATTTATCAGACCACATGTCTGTCACCACCACAGCAACCACATGTTGGTGTTGTTTTTTTGAGAAAAGAATGTCAGTTCACTCAGTATTTATCCAATCATAGTTTTTGATACTTCCCAACCAATTACAAGTCCCTGATTGGTTCTTTTCATCGCTGTGAGAGTGTGACTGGTACTGAGTACAGTTGTATTGAGAAGAACACTCCGTTCGTTTCATTTTTACAATGCCTTGACACTGTAATCCTTAAACCAGACACACCGGATGTACTTCCCTAGAACAAAGTAAAAAAAAAACACAATTCACATTCCAGAATGGTATTTCTTTACCAGTAATAGTAAGACATTGAAATAAAAGATCACTGTGCAGCCATTGTCTTGTGAAACTTATGTTAGCACTTCATAAAATCAAGTAAACCACCCAGTACAGTAGTGTGCCTATTTGGCATTCAAGTCTGAATGGTGTGGCTGCTTTAGCCTGTTACCACTGGCATGGTCTAGAGTCTGCAAACTGTGACAGTTATTATTGATTGTTTTTGATGATTTATAACGATCATACAGTGTCGATCTGCTTGACATGACAGCGATTGGATTGATCGTTGATTACAGGTAAGGCTCAGCAGTGAAAATTCTCTAATATGGTCCAGTTTACTATGGCAACGAGATACCAAAATAGCCATTTAACTTAAAGGCTGCCATTGTCTGCGCATTCCAGTGCAGCGTGTGTTTCAACCGCTGGGACTGTTTTCTTGCATAATGGCTCCCATCAATCATTCTCTTAAAAAAAAAGCAACATAAAAACATTTTGGAAACTTTGCCATGGATTGCCCTAATGTTAGCAGTTTAACGAGTAGGCTTTTGCTGGCTGCTAATTATAAAACGCTATCTAATAAAGTCCACCAATCAGTATGAAAACAGCTCTCATTTATTGTCTACTTGTCGTATTTGTTGTAAAACCTATTTAATTTTAAGAGATAACTACAATGTACAAATACAATTTATTTTTTAATGAAATCATATAGCACAGAAATTATTATATTAATATATTTGTTTAAGTATATTTATACCTAACACAAAATTCACAGGATATTCAAACAACAGAGTGTTGTCTCGCCAAATATTTTTTAATTTTTAGCTCCGCTGTTGACTTTGTCGAGCAGAGCTTATCTTATGAGTGATTGTCCGTCGTCGTTCGTGTCAATGTTTTACTTTTTCGACTTCTCTTGAAAACTACAAGCCTGAATGCTTTGATACTTGGTATCAATTGGAAAAACAAACAAAAAATCATATTTTTGTTAATGATTAATGTATATTGGAGAACTGTTTCAAAATTCATCAAAGTACAATGCCATATATTCTAGTAGTTGTTTTCACTTGTCACATCACATCGCAAACATAAAAGCCCAACAAAAAATTTTAAATTTGTCTATCCACCAGTGTAAACATGAAATTATGTTGTTTGTGTTAAATTCTTTAATTTAAAAACAATTTTTGTTTGGTCATGAACAGAACCTTTGTTTGTGTACGTATAATACTTGTAGAAAATATTGATACATATCTGTGACTATTTAATGTATGTACTGGTGTAATGTACATATTTGCCACAGAGCTCACTTGGTAATGAAAGTACTACCATACTATTATGCAACTCATAGTATTGGTTTCTAACAATTTAGAAAGCATTGCCAAAATTATGTCCTGTAAAATACTTTATTTTAGCTGGAATTAATTTATTTTTTGGGTGTTACCAATATATATATATAACAATTTGTTCTCTTTATGAGAGCAATCTAACTGTAAATTATACAGTATAATTAAAGTTGTGGTGAACTGAATTTTTTTTTTAATATTAAAGATGTTTTACTAAAATTTTCCAGACATTAATTAGTCATTTTGGGGATTTTTAGGTCAGTTTGCAAAGGCAGGACCCGATATATTGTGTATCGTACTTTATGAATGACGACATAACTGTGAGTGCGATCACTATGAATCATTCAGAGTTTTTTTTCAAGATCAACTTAAAGCAGAAATACGTTCTAAGTTGTGTTAACACGAAAGCGTGAAAAATAGTGTATTGTACGTTGCCCGGAAAGACTGGTTTTCCAAGGAAAAGCTGATAAGTTTTGAAAACAAAATTCAAACAATTTAATTGTGAGTTATCTTTGACAATCGCCATTGTTGGCGGGTGTAGCCAGGTAAAAGCCTACAGCAATAAGTACACTGACATCTGTTCCCCTTTTGAAATTATTTCAAAGATTGATGGTTATGCATGCCTTCCATACAAATTGCTATTAAGTGGTGCTTATGTGTTCTCATGACCCTGGCTAACCTTTAAACTTTACCCAAAATTGTTTGTTAAAATTGGAGACTGAAAATTGACTCTATATGTTTTAAAGGGTGGACATGTTAGAATATGGGGCTGGGGAGTCGCACACAACAAGTCTGTAGTCAGGAAATTTTGGAAAAATAAATATTCTACTGGAAAATTCTTGGGAAAATTATATAATTTAAAGAAAAAAAACTAGCTCAAGGATAAAGGATGTTTATTATTATTCATTTATGTAAAAATGCATTTTTTAAATTTTTCGGCAACAACAGTGTGACTCAATATTTATCAATGGCGGTTTGACATGCTAAAGTTTTTATAAAATTAAATTAACCACAGATCTCAAGTCGTATATTATTTATTTAATTCAACAACAATTGTTATTATTATTGCTATGTTTTGGTTTCATTTTTGTTGTTCATCCATTTATTTCAGTGAAAAAAAAAACATGTGTGTTTTCATGTTCAAAATACTGAGTTGTCTGTTGAATTCTTTCGTCTAACCTATTATTGTCAGCGAGTAAATCATTCGTCTCTGAGTTTTTGTAGTCCTGAAATAAAAACTGTCACACTTTGTTTAGAGCCAAAGGTGACCTCTCTCTCTCTTTAAACTTCTACTGTGTTTATGTATGTAAAAAACTAGGAGCAATAGAAATGGCACTGATGGCCTCAAAGTTTAAAACAAACAGTCGTAAGACTGGTGAAATTACTACTCTAAACTATGCAGAGGTGAGCCAGCAATGTTAAATGTCACGATTCTATATGGCTTCTTTCTCTGCTTGGCTGCATCTGTATAGCTGTCCGCAATCCTGCGACAGTCGTCTCCCCCACCCATCTGTACTGTGCTGAATTGTATAGACCCATACATGGACAATAGAACAATTATTTAAACAGAGTTCAATAATGTCAAGCCAAACAAATGATGGTTCCACTTTTAGAGGTAGAATATTTAGGCTGTTTTTGCTTTTTTTTTTGTAATTTATTTTTATTTGATGAAGGAGAAGTTTAAAAGTTACAAAGTTAAATAATATGTATGGGTATTTTTACAACTCTGGATACTATGATCTCAGCTATAATTAAAATTCAGTGAGCAGAGTTTCTTTTTGTTAAACACAGCAAGAATGTGGTCTTGTTTGAACTATGTTTAAAAGTTCAGGTCATAATATTTTATCGCTGGGATAAGTACAAGTTGTTAATGTGGAAAACCATTAATATTGTTGGTTGGTCTACTAAGTGTCTGCTGCTGTCAGTACTGTACTGCCCCAGTCAGTGAATGTGTATACGCACTTTAGAATAAACAGTTGTCTTATGTCGTAGTGTAATTTAATACATTTGATATCTAGTACGCCTACATACCAACTGAGTCCAGTCATTTGAACATAAGCTGTCGGCCAGTGGAGTCTCTGTGTGTGTTTGTGCCTGCCCTGTTTAAAGAAGCCTGTCCGCGCGCTGCTGCCAACAACACCAGCCTGCCTGCCTGGGTTAATATCAGTCCAAAACTGAACATCACCATGGCAACTGCTGCTATTTGGCATCATAGGATGGTAAGCTTATTTCACCTTATTCCCTCACCGAGTTTGTTTTCACTGTCTATAGTTGAGTTCCTTCAAGTAGCTACATCCTTATGATGTTTAGTTGGCTGTTCTTTAAAGGAGGAATGCCTTTCTGAGTTTTGTCACCCAATGTACAATGCGAGTAAAGTGTTGTTTTTAGAAGCATACAAAGAAGATTGTTCATATGTTTCTACGGAAATGATCACATACAACATCCCCAGCTTGTGATGTGTTCATGTACAAGGCCAATCTAAATATACATGCTCGACATGAGGAAATACTATGATGCCTGTGGCTACACTTTGAGAAAGTCATTTCCGATATCAGCTGGTTCTGTCTGTGATTGCTAAGTTGTGGTTTCCCGTTTACTAAAATACAAGACATTACACATGATAGTTTTTATGTCTGTCTCGGTAATGAAATGCTTCAACTTGTTTATTATGCTGTGCCAAGAATGCTATTACTTCGCGTTGTCTTGGAGTTGTCTTGGCGTTGTCCGCTGTTCTCCGGTTACAAAATGTTTTCATAACTCATCCATTTGATACAGACTGTCTGTAAAAATGAAAACTTGAAAAGGTGAATTCTACTTATTAGTTTCCTTTCAGCTGGGTTGTATTTTTAACATTATTTACTTTTATCTGTACTTGTCTCTTTTCATAAAACACTGTTAGACCATGTCCCAATTATGTCCCTTACAACAGGAAACTGATAT